AAGAATGGCTCCAGAAATCTACATGCATTTGGTTTCAATAGCCCACGGCAGCATTCCGAGGCGAGGCAAGAAAAGAGCCACTCTCTCTCCCTGATCCCATCTGGCTCAACTCACAGAGCTGAGGCTCAGGTCCAGACCCGTCCAATAGGCACTCTGCGCCAACTCGAGCTGCTGGCATGCACAGCAGAGACTCGTTGGCCGGGCGCCAATCCTTGCATCCATGCCAAGTATAGCTGGTGTATCAATATTTGCATCCACAAGCTTTATGAAAGTACTATGACGTTTCTATGCAACGCCGTCCAGTTGCAAAGACGTTGCCGTACCATAAACAGCTGACTGTTGATATGCAATCCCGCCCATGCAACTTCAACCACCTTCCCTGAATCAAGCAAATGCCAAACAACGATGTGAACTGCATGTGTCGGACTCGGTTTCAGACATCCTCGTCACCCCGCTGATGCTCCACGACCTGTTTCAGCAAGAGCCTTTCGTTTCCACTGCATTTCAGATTGAAACCATGATCATCATCGTTGCTGATGACGACGATGGCGGCAGCGATGCTCACAGCTGTTGATATTGTCGAATCTGCGGTTGCTGATGCTGCTGCTTGAAGGTTCATGGAAGATGGTGTTATAATACTTTTGCTTTGAGTACAGCGTCATACGGCCATTGCGACTACAGCCCGTGTGCGATGAAGTTGCGGGTGCTGACTAGAATTTCTTTGAGTGCTCATGGCCGTTTCTCCCCACCGAAGGTTTATTGGGAAAACTTGTGCTTTCAGCTTTTTCCTTCAGACAATGTTACGATTGATGCATGCAGCAACAGCTCAAGAGAATAGCAACGGAGGTTGCAGATCTGGCTTGCTTTCAGAGACTTTGCATACATCGCAAGGCAGGTCGAGATGTGCATGCCTTATAACTTCTCAACCCCCCCCCGCCCCGCCCATTTTGTGCCTTTCCGGTGTCGGCCTGCAATCGAAAGTCAACTCGTGTGGAAGTGTTTGCAGCAGCACTCGAACTAGTGCTACAACTGCTACAACAAGTCCTATCACGATCGCCACCATGACGAGAAGCATTGCACTAGTATTCATATTCTAGTTCGGGCATCGATGGCTCTGGCCTACATGCCTTCACAGCTTTACGATAATCTGAGACACTGGCACTGGAGCACAAGAGAGTTCATCGTCACAGAGAACTATCCTGACCCTGTCGGCTGTATGCTGCTATTCTTCCGATTCGGCCAAATCGGCACCAACACTGGCTTCACTCAGTGTCTGCAACAGCAGCATGCAACTGGTGCTCACTGCCCAACTGCCCTGATGGATCTCATCCAAAAGCTGCACAGAAAGCATGGCAACGTTTGCCACTGTTGCTTGCATCAGTACCAATCACAAAAACTCACATGTTCTCCATTATCGTGGCTACCTACTACCATCAACATAGTCACGGCCCTCAAGAGGAAAAGCCGCCGCGTCCCGGAAAGCCCTCCGAATGGGCCTCGCTAAGCTCGCCCACATAGGCCACGAAGGCACAGTCCCATGGATCCTTCGAGTTTTGTGAGTGTAGCTACCTAGAGACTCCAATATCTCTTAATTAAGGAATATTCCTTAAATTATAATAGGATCCTTGATATGATTTAAGGCATATTAATTAATTAAGGGATATTGGAGTCTCTGGGTATACTGTGTGTGTGTGTGTGAGTGAAGGCATCCACAGATAGGCATGCACACACAGACAGACAGACGGACGGACAGGCAGGCGGGCAGGCACGCAGGCGGGCAAACTGACGGACAGACAGACATACATACGCAAAGACGGACGGACAGACTAACAGACTCACCGACAGGCATACATACAGGCATAACTACAGAGAGACGGACATACGGATAAACACACATTCATAAATTCCTACATTCCTTCATTCCTACATGCTTACTTTCATACAAACATACTTTCATACTTGCATTCATACATTCATACATACATACATGCATACATACATACATACATACATCAGGCACGCATGCACACGTACAATGTGCTTGGATGTGCTTGGGGCGTGCGGATGGATTTAAGTGTCAATGTTTTGGGTGCCGTGGGTTCGGAGATTGAATCGCGAAATTGCCGGGCTCTGGCATTTTGTAGAACTCTAAAACGATGCGCTCTTCGCGGTCTGGTGGAAGGCATGGCCGGTCTTGCTTTGCCGAGCTACCGTGGCAAGGGACAAAGGCCCACGAGCTCAAAACGATCCACGACTCTGGAAGTCCTGGGGTTCCATGGAAAATCTCATCTGACGCCTGGCCCACATAGCCGCATGCAGGAAAAAGATGTTAGGCCGTCTGTCATGTAGTTGTGGAGAGTGTCCTCCAAACGCTGGGCTAGGGTGGCTTTGAGTCATCGAAAACCCTTCTCCAAGCATCTTGACCTTTGAAGCCTATCATCCATGTAACATCACAGTTTGCAAAACACAAAGGGCTGAACACGACCGGAAATCTTGCAGCCCCGCACCTGAAACCTTGTGTTTATGCGCTAACTAGTTCTTTGACCCTACTAGGGACTGCAACTGTTCCTCCTACTTGCGTGTGACGAAGCTGCACCTGCTGCACGTGCTCCAGCCACTACTGCAGCTGCTGCCGCTTCCGCAGCGGCTGCCCTACGACTACCATTCTAATCGTCGACGAAACAATACATTGCAACGGTACAAATCATAATAACAATAGCAACAACAGGAGAAATTATAATCCTACTAATAAACACGATCAGAATGTACCAACAATGACGACATCAGCTACTAGCAGTTAATAATAGTAATGAGACTAATCTCTATTTCTGTATCTGTATCTGCTGGGCGCCCGGCGGCCCCACTGTTTCCAGACCTGCAGAAGCAGACACCAAAAACGCTACTCAGCGAGAGAAGCCCCTCCTTACTTCAGGAAAATGTAGCACCCTAAACCCCTGAACCCAAAACCCCTAAATCCCTGAACCGTAAACCCCTAAACCCTAACCTCAAACCCTAAACCTCCTAAACCACTGCAAGAAAGATCCTCCTGGAGCTTGAACGACACTCTGAGCCCCGTGATCCTGATGCACCTCGAACTACTCGAACGAACCCAACATTCCCTATCAAGACACATTCCTTCAGTGCCCAGCTTCCGGGCTGAGGGCATTGGCAATGCTCATGGGTGGTAAGCTGAAGGAGGGGTTGTGAATGCGCTGATACCTAAAGCTTTTTCCCGTTTCACACCCCTGCATGTAACATCATGAAAAAACGCATGAACAAGCGATACCGCACACTTCCTAAGCTGAGGCTGCGGCGCACCAGGGGCGGATCGGCTGGGATGGCCGGCGTTGTGAACTCGAGCAGGCTGCTCTTACTCGAAGGCTCTCTCAGGCTTCCGGGCCCTTGCAGTCTATATGTATGCGTGCGTGTATGTATATATATCTATATATATACATGCTGGATACCACGGTAACCCTTCAAATGGTCACGGCACCCCTTCCCGATGTTGCACTTTCAAGACAGCGCAAGGGCACTGCCAGAGGACTGAGCAAGTTTCAGCGTAGATGCCTGTCCTTCCGGCTACTCAAAGGCTCATGGGACTTAGTAACTAGGGTTATGAATAGGGTAACTATATCTATTTTTATTTATAACCCCAATTACGGTACTTATAACAGAAACTTATTAAGTCCCATGAACCTCCAAGTACGTTATACTGGAGACTCAAGGCTCCGGCCAGTTCAAGCACTTCCGTCCAGTTGCCCTTCGACAGCAGGTCGAGGCAGTAGGAGCGCACCTCAGCCGGCACTGGGACTACGGCGGAGTTGACGGAGTCGGCTCACGCAAACGAAAAGACAAACATGTACGTATGTACGTGCATGTGTATATATATATATAAACACGGTATGTGTATGTATATATATATACACATGCATATATATATATATATACGTGTATACATATATATATATATATATATAATACATACTGTCTACTGCCATATCCAAAAAAGGGGAGTTCAGATTTGGGTTAGTTCTCCACGAGTTGAGGGTCCGACCCTTGTGTCATAGGTGGTCTCGGACAGCAGGCCTGAACAGGGGAAGGCGGTAGGATGTACCAGGGTTCAGGGTTTAAGGGTTTAGGGTTTAGGGTTGAGGGTTTAGGGTTTGGGGGTTTGGGGGTTTAGGGTTTAAACCCTAAACCCTAAACCCTAAACCCTAAGGGTTTTAGGGATTTAGGGGATTTAGGGGTTGAGGGGTATAAGGGTTTAGGGGTTCGAAGTCCGGTGAGCCGGGCCTTCTGTGACAGTGCAGTTCACATCCTCGTAGAGCGAGCTGATGCCTCAGACCGCGCGCTTGACGTCAAGCTTGGGGTTTAGGGCTTAGGGTTAAGGGCTTAGGGTTTAGGGTTTAGGGTTAAGGGTTTAGGGTTTATTTAGGGTTTAGGGTTTAGGGTTTAGGGAAACACTCACAGAAGAGGCCGAGTCAAGAGAGGAATGAGTGAGACGAGCCAATTTGGCGAGGTGCATTCCTCTGCCAAGAACCACTCGCCATCTACGGGTCGCAACTCCAACTCCCATCCTTGCACATGGCAAAAAGGTCCGGGAAGAGAATGCAAGTTTCACCGACAAGTACTGTTTGCACTTGTCCACTCACTGCCATTCACACATTCTGTTTACCAAGCCTCTGCAAGTCATTGGCACTGTCCCGAAACCAAAACCGTCGTGTTGCATTCTCTTGTCAGCATACTTCTTGCATGGAACAGAAATTGCTGTACTGTCGTAGTACGGCATCCTCACCTGGCTTTACTTGATTTTGTGACTCTGTTGCTGTGATGGCAGTGTTATGATCTAACGATCGCTATGTCGTTTTGCATGGCTTATGAAACTCTCATGCTAACAGAGCATACAGCCTGGCCATACTACTCTGTGGCATCATGGCGCTTTCTTGCTAACAACCTTTGCAACAGTCTGTCGCTGCATGGTTTAAAGCGATATACTGCTGCAATACAACAGTACCATCTTGTTTTGGCACTAGGGTTGATGGACAAAATCCTGCATGACCTTATATACCTAAACTATGGGAGTTCTGGTACTATACTATATTTGGGTCATGCAGGATTTTGTCCATCAACCGTATCTAGAATCTAGTCCCGCTCAATTGTTCGAGTAGTACCGTCCTACTCGGTTCGGTTAACCTGTGCTCTGCAGTTGTGCTGCTTGACGGCTGCATCCCTGGAAAATCCTGCCTACCTTTGCTCTTTGCAAAACGATCTCGCGTCAAGATGGTTACATGTGGTTCTAAAAGAAGTGGTGCAGGTCCTGTCATTTCTGACCGTGCAAAACCAGTAGGCGGCTGCGGGCAAACTGGTGTTTTCCATGGTTGGGGTTCCTTTGATATTTCATCTCTATGAGTACCCACTGAAGAAATGGTTGCACTGCTGTTTCCTGTGGGCCGGCGTATTGTCACGCAACCGTGCTTCATGACACGCTTATGAGACCATACAGCCGTAGTATGTTGCTGCACGCTGCCACATTTCTGCACTGCTGTATATTGTGGGCTTCTCATAGCTTCATGACTTGTCTGCTTCATGTCGGAAGTTAGAAACCGAGCGACACTGAGATTGAACACTGAATTGAGATCCTGAAAGACCCAGCAGGAGAAGCCGCTAAATTTGAGAAACCCCACATCGAGCCAGCCTGTGAACACGCAGTCGTTCGCTTCACCAGCCTGGATGGCTTGTGAGCGAAGCGCTGCCTACTCGAAACATAGCATACAAGCGCATGCTGTACTGGTGTGTATAACATATGTCTTCATATATGGAAGTAGATACATACATATACATACGCATTGCAAACTCTGGCATGTGTATATTATATATATATATATGTATATACACACTGCCTTCTTTGTGTATATTCATGTTTATGCGGAGGTGTATGTCCGACCGACTTGCACGGCATGCGTGTCACAGCCGAGTGGTCGCGATAATGAACGCGTGCTTTTTCATTCGTCGGTTTATCTCTATGTAGTGTTTTATGCCATCGGATGCTAACCATGCATCATGCATACCATCGTTTTGGTCCCAGATCAGTTTGTTGTGAGACTGTTGTCTATAGATGTCGAGAATACTCTGTGAATACTCTCGTAGGCCCCTTTCGTTGTTTAAGTGCTGGCATGCTTACTTCAGGTTACCACACTGTGTGAGACATCGTCGCATGTTCTTCTTGCATGCTACCAACCTGGTATTATGCACTATGAGGCATTCAGGATTCTACTCTACGTGGCCGTGGCAGTCAAGCGGCATCCCAGTCAAGGGCCACAGAGACATTGTGTCCTGCGCACATGGCCCGACGTTACCGTAAAGTGGCTTCACTCTTTTTCGTGTGTACCTGCTTCTCAAAGCCCCGGAGTTACAGGGCATCTGCGAGGTCTGTTGAGACTTTGTGCAAGGCATGTTTCTTGATGATTTTCTTTACTCTGACTGCGACATGAAGCGACACACCGACACTCTCAGCACCACAACAGTTGGACACACCAAACCAGAACGTTTGCCCATACGACCACAGCGAGTCCTGCCAGAAACGGAAAAGCCGTCAGGTTCTCAACATTCTCCGCCGGCAGGGCGCGCCCCTGCATCCATGCGCGTTGAGAAGCTGCTAGGACTAGGACATGGAAAGGGATCACCCTAAAACTTTCGTTAATGGGCTCAGGCGAACACTGATGTGACCCAGATGGGATCCGCTGTGTACGGAGAATCCGCAGCAGGATCTTGACACTCCTCTCGCAGACCTGGCACGGTGAACCCAGGCATCGTCGTTCACACCCTTGCTACCAGAGCTGCGCAGACTTATTGAAGGCATGCTGGCAGGGACGCAGCTGGTACAGCTCCTCGCTCCAGATGACATGAACGTCGCACCTCAGAGACGTCTGAAGCCCACTGCCCTTGCACTAAAAGGATCCAAGAGCCGCAAGATAAGCGCCCGGCCACGAGGTTTCGCCTGGAGCAGTGCCAAAGGGGCGGGAGGAGTAAGGCGTGCCGCTACCTCTGCAGCCCCTCGAAACTCCCCGAATGACCGGAGCCTGCCCCACAGGTGAAACGACATGAATGCTATGGGTCGGAAGCGTGTCGGGGCATCCAAATCCACACCATAGCTGCCACTAAAACCAAAGCCTGGTTCTGAACGCTCAGCTGGCAAATCCATCCAAGGCACGGTACATGTCTGCACAAGTGGTCGGCACCGTGTGCCACACCTGCTCGCCATCCACCAGCACTTGACACTACAACGAGCCGTCAAGTTCTCTCCCAAACGTCAAAAACATCAAGCAGCAACTCTACCCATCTGAAGCCACGAGATCCAAAAGCCCCTTGCCTGCTCGCAGAACATGGGATACTGCCAGCAGCTCACCGGACCATCGGAGGGCGCCTGCCCAGAGGCCAAGGGATGCAATCAGGCTGCCCTGGGAATCGACGGATTTACCACTTGGGGTATTCACACCCTGCGTCTCTGGGCTCCTTAAGTGCAAGGAAGGGCCTTTGAGCCCGAAAGAAGTCTCTCTAAGCAAATAATTGATAATGATTAATTAAGAATTAACAATGAATAATTAATCATTATAGTTAACAATTATCAAGTAATAACCATGTGATCTGCTCGCAGGCCACGGCTCAGCCTCGCTCGCGTTCAATCGAACCTGCACGGCCCACTTCTTGAAGACCTGGCCAGGGGAGCCGGGGGGCCGGCCGAAAGAGTTTAAAGAGGCATCGTGAGGATATAGTAACATCATAAATAGTAAATAGTCAATACATCGCATGAAACACAAAACATAGAATAGGTAATAGGAAATGGATGAAACGTAGGATGTACATGTAGGTTTTCTACATAAAAACATGTGGTACCCTTCCTCTCCCGGTTTTGTCCCTCTGTTGTTGCGTCTCTGGGAAAGCGTGTCTTTGCTTTCTATACTTCTGGCTTCTGAGGCTTCTAAGTTTAGGGTTTACTGGATGTTTCTAAGTTCAGGGTTTACACTGGTTCTTGCTCCTGAAGTTTTCCAAATGCATGGTTCAACAATTTCCATGATTTGTCTGTGGAGAATCATGGGAGATGCTAGTTTTACCAACACTTCCAACAATTTTCATGATTCCCGAACCTACCCGAATCCCCTAAACACAACACAGCCTGGCCTGAAACTCTAACCACTGAAGCCCCAAACTCCTTAAAATCCCAAGAATGCTAAAGCCCAACACCCCCGTAAGCCAATGCCCTTCGCACCCCAACCGAGATCCCTACGCAGTCCGTGGAATCATCCATCTCCAATCGAGGGCCACCATCGCGGATCTGAGACCGAGATGTGCTTTGGGGTTTCGCGTTTCGGGACCCTAAACCCTAAACCCTCAACCCAAGTTTAGGTTAGGATCCGTGGCAAATGGGCTTAGGGTTTAGGGGCTTTTGAGCCTTCGAACTCATGGGAATTTAACGTCGGAGGCTCTTGGAGGCTCTTGGCTTTCTAGGACATGTCTATATCATACGGCTGATGGACAAAATCC